GTTGCAACCACTTTCTTAGTATGGGGGTTTTAATTCTCAAAGGGGATCAGACAGTTGTTATTAATTCCTTTGAAGTGAATTTTCTGAATCCCTAAGAAAGTCATAATTTAAGTTTGCTCCATCTTCCTGTCAAGTGGTGAATGATTTTATCACTATGATGAATTTGGTCATTCTAAGTGATTCGGTTGTCGAGAAATTAAAGGAGAAGCATTTCACTTGGCGTAATTAGTGTGACTAAGTAATCGGTGAATAGTAAGTGTTTTCTTCTTCCGAACGGTCGAAACCGACGGATTGCAATGAGCATTCAATGTTGGATTTGAATACGGATACCCCACCTGGCTTTAAGACTTTAAACATATATGCTTGATAATTGAGGGTATCAACATTAGTTTCAGTAAAAACGGCTCACGAAACACTACGCGATAATAACAATCTCACACAAATTTTACGGTTAAGCGTTTGCGTTCATATTCATCGTAAGAATGACTGTTTTTATTCTTATGAACCCTGTCTCCTAGCGCCGTAGTATTCGAATGCATCCGGCGTTTGATTACAACTGCCTGCCTACATGAGTTATGTATTTCCATTTCCAGATTGAAATGTTCATGTCCTCAGCAAATTTTGTTGGTTTTTCTGCCGTTCCTTCGTTTCAGCCTAGTTAATTAACTTGAGAAGCTTCTTGTTCACTAAAATGTCACTTCGTGCATAATAGGTGTAATTGATTTGTACGTTATTAGTCATTTTATTTGCATCTTAGCTTTTAATTCATCACAATAATCCAAATCCTCTTTCAAGACGACCTTATCAGCTGACTTCAAGGCTACGATGTTGTCGCCGTTGTTGCTGTTGTCTCCAGGTATATGACTTAGCAGTAAAACAGTGATTGTAGCCACGAGAAAGGCTGTTATGTTTTTAAACAATCAAAATGGAAAGATGCATAATCTTTTTCCGACGTTTTGGAGGAACGGTATATGCAAAAAAATGAAATTTTACCCATGATTTAGCCTCAGTAACTGCGTTTGTAGATGGATTCGCGAACCTGGTTTATCAGAGTCAACATAGGGAGGACTATTTGCCTAACTTCGTCACTGGCGACTTTGACTCAATAACGCCGGAAGCTTTGAAGTTCTATCAATCTCAAGTAATTGTTCGACACTGGTATCATATCAATATCTGTAGACTTCAGTATCAGTTATTCATACACCGGATGAAAATGAAACTGATTTTACCAAATGTTTGAGGATCATCAATTCATTTATTGACGAAAATCAGGTGAGTCCGACCATTACTACTACGCAGATAATAGCTGAACTAGCTTCGTCCCAAAGCTATCGTAGCAGCTCATGTCAGTGGGGGTCGATTGGATCACGAACTGGGTCTCATACA